TATTATCATGCTTTCCTGTAGCTGGAGAAGTCTTTATTATGTAAAGTGGGCTAGCCTGGCCTTCTTAATGGCCCATTAACTAGGGATGGGCAGGAAGCTACAGGCAACTTTTCTGTCTTTTAAAACATGTTTCTTTCTTTTCACATCCAGAGAAATATTCTGCCTTTTCAATATTTCCTAGGATATTTCATTTTTCTGGGAGAGGGCTGGATGATAAATTCCCACAAAAGTTTTGTGGGTATCCATTTTGTTGGAACGTGCTGTATAGATGCTCCGTTTCCTTTTTCTGCTGTTCTGGGTTCCTGCAACATGTTTGGGCTTGTCTAAATAAAGTCCTTAGGAAGCTTTTTTTTGTGGGGTTGCTACTTTAGCAGTCTGGTACCAGGAGGTAACCAGTACTGGCAGTCAGAAGGCAACACAAAAATCCTTTCATTTCACCACATGTAGATAGATTGAACCCTAGTTTCAATTGGGGAAAAATCTGACCATCCATAAATGCCAGGGAATTTCTAGAAGCACTCTGACAAATCAGCCATCAATAGACACATAGACATCAAAAACCTCTGTAGACTATACAAGAGATAATCAACCAGCCCAAAAGAGAAGACGCCAGCACCTCTCCGCCAGTAATCAGCAACCAGCATAGATTAACTCCAAGTTCACCTTCAGACCAACAATCAAGTAAGCATGTCCCAAAGGTGCTTTTTCAAGAGGCAACTGGACTTTCTGGATTTTCTTTGAAGACGTTTCCCCTTCTCACCCAAGAGCAAATGTCAGATTTCTGTTCCTAACTAAAAATGGCAAGGACTTTCAGAATTCCTGCCCATGCTGTTTTTAAATGCTATTATTATTATTACTAATATTGTCCATTACCAAGAAGCCTCTTCTTATCCCTGCTGCTGCAGCACCCTATCCGCCTGATGGCTACTGTAGCATCTCGGCATGCGACCACCCTTTCGGGGTCCAGCATGCAATTGTTTTGCCTGCCTTTAGACAATCCCTGGTTTCTTGCAAGCACGAAATATTAGCAAGGTGGCAGAATTCCAAAGCCTGCAGGAATATTCCCTTCCCCAAAAGCCTTAGGAAAGAAAAATAAACTGGCAAAATTGCTCAATAAGGAACGAGCAACGGATCCCTCGTCGGGAAGCAGCTTCAGCCGAGAGAAGCGAGCGAGCGGGGCCGGGATCCCGCAAAGAAAAGCGCCCAGCGCTACAACATTGTGTTGCAGAGGCCCGTCCGGGCTTGCAAACTTTTCCCGCCAAAGCGCCGTTCGGATCAAAAGAGGGGCGGGAAGGAAGAGGGGGCGGAGCTCTCTGCGCGCCGGACCGAACCATCGCTACGCCGTTTCCAAGGGGGGGGGGAATCTGGTTCTGAAGAGAGGAGGAGAAAAGCCGCCCCGAGGCCTTTGCTACCTCGGGGCAAGAACTTCGGAGAAAATTCCCTCCGTGGAAGGCGGCTGGGTATTCCGTCCCAGAGCTGTGAAAGGAAGAAGCGGGGAGAAAAAAAACCTCCCCTCTAGGATTCCCCCCCGCCTGTTTTCGAGGTGGTATCGGCCGCCGGGGTTGGCGCGCGCGGCGCTACCTGACGCGCCTCAGTGCCGAGGTCGGCGTCGTCGGTGAAGGGTCGTCGCAACCGCCTTCTCCCCTCGTCATGTCGTTTCGCCAGCGAAGCCCCTTGGCCGGCCGGACTCGCAGCAGGTAAGGGCCCGCGTGGAGCCGCCGTCGTCCTGTGGCTGCCTCGGAGAGGCTCCATCGGCCTCCCTCCGCCCGCCGCGGAGGCCTTTTCCTCTCAAGTCTCTTCCTTGTGACCCAAATAAGGCGCCTCAGCTCAGCCCGGGATTGGCGGGACCGGCCTGAGGGGAGCCCCGTGTCGAAGACCCCCCTCCCCACCCTCAAGCCTCGTTTCCTCTGGTTAATGGGGCGGGGGGGGGTCGCCCCTTCCTCACAGGGCTGTTGTTGGGCCTTGGGTGCCAAAAGCCGGACAATCGCCTGCTTTAAACCCGTCTGAAAAGACTCTGGGCCCGGTGTATGTGGGTGTTCAAAGAAGGAAACAGACCCAAGATCCTAAATAGATCCAATGGAGACTCATCAGGTGAGGTAAAAATAGAAAAAAAAAGCCCCTCATCTCTCGCCCAAAAGATAAATGCCGATACTGAGGGCGGGGCTTGGGGGGGACAACAGCCAGTTTTCTTTGGGAAGGAAAAAAATATATTTATTTATTTATTTATTAAATTTATAGGCCGCCCAATCCCAAAGGACTCCGGGCGGCTTACAGAGAAGGAAGAAAAAAAGAAAAATAGAATAGTTTAAAATTCACAACTTTTAAAAAAAAGCTCATTTTAGCAATTGGAATCATAATAAGGGGGGGGGGAGAAAACACCCCACTTTTTCCAAACAGCATTATAGAAATTGTAGGAAAAAAGCTCTTGGAATAACAATAATAATTGTAATAATAATAATAATGCCTTGTCTTTAGGAATTACAGGGATAAAAAGGATAGAAAAAAGTCTTTGGCATCGAAATAATAACAACCACTAGTAAAAGCCATTAACAGCAGTCAGTGATATTTGGTTTTTTTTTAATTTTTAAATTTCATTTATTTTAAGCTGCCTGGCTCTGGGTCCATAAAAGCAAAATTGAAATTGAAATTTAATTAAAAAAAATGAAATTTAATAAATTTGTATGCTGTCCAATCCCGTAGGACTCTGGGCGGCTTACAGAGACAAGATAAAAAGTTAAAAATCAGAAATAAAAAGACACAATTATTAAAAATAACACACCATCCATTCTGTCTAAATGGGTCTGGAGTGTAAAAGGAAGGAGGCCGAGGAGGAGTGGCTGATGGGAAATGCGTTTTTTTTCTCTTTCGGCCTCCCTCCCACTTCTGCTTTTTTTCCCCCTCCGCAAAGTCCTCGGCATAAGGAGTCCTCGGCTTATAGCCGCTCGCTTAGTGACCGTTTGAAGCTACAACCGTCCTGAAAAACAAAGCAGGGTCAATTGGGTAAAAAGCTGGATTCACGTAACAATCACCCCGATTCACTTAGCGGCCGTGATGGAATTGGATACGAGCATGGGACGACACGCTTGTCAACCATCTCACTCAGCAACCGAATTTTCCGGTCCCAGTGGCTGTTGATAAGCCTAGGACCAGCTGTAGCAGAATGGAGGTTCCCCCCCCACCCCCAATGTGGTACAGAGAGTCCTCGACGTAACAGCTCATTGAGTGACTGTTCAAAGTTAGAACGGATCTGAAAAAAGGGACTTACGACCATTTTTCACGCTTGCAGCCTCTCCATGATCATACGATCTAGCCATATTCTAATGCCTGACAACTGATTCATATTTATGACCATTACAGTGTCACAGGGTCATGTGATCTCCTTTTGTGACCTTCTGACTAGTTGGAAAGCCAGATTCACTTAACAACCGCAGGGATTCACTTAACAAATGTGGCAAGGAAAGTTGTAAAATGGGGCAAAACTCACTGAGCAAATGTCTCACTTGGCAACTTAAAGCCTGGGCTCAATTGTGGTCATTAAGTCGAGGGCTGCCTGCATTCAAGAGCTAGAAACAATTCAAAATGGCCGATCTCCAGTCCATCTTGACCTCCTGTGTCGCTTCTAATTAAAAGTGGCACAGTGGTTAGAGTGCTGTACTGCAGGCCACTTCAGCTGACTGCTATCTGCAATTCGGCGGTTCAAATCTCACCGGCTGAAAGTTGACTCAGCCTTCCATCCTTCCGAGGTGGGTGAAATGAGGACCCAGACTGTCGGGGCGATATGCCGACTTTGTAAACTGCTTAGAGAGGGCTGAAAGCCCTATGAAGCGGTATATAAGTCGAACTGCTATTGCTATTTTCCCTGACTGTTCGTTCTTTTTCATTGCCTCTTCACAGATCAACTGCTTCATGGAGTCAAGGCAGGAAGCGCGACGCAGATGGGAAGCACAGGAACACGCATGAGCCCAGCGGCCCAACCCTTGACTACGATTCGTACAGTCTGCCAGATGGTAGATCAGAGAGGTGGGTGTACAGAAATATTCTCTCGCTATTAAGCACAGCGAAGTTCTACTTAAGGCAAAGGTGGGCATAAAATGTTTAGTTCCTGGTAATATTTTGGCACTGTACTAAATATTTTTCAGTAGCATACTGGGGTGTTCTGCACCCCCCTTCTCCGTCCAGGAACGAAAGCCACAAGCAAACGTAAATCAGAATACTTTTAATCAGTTCAGACTCTTGTTGGCTGCAAGCCCAAAATAAACAGATAAGCATTCTGGCACCATTAGGCAGCAAATGCAAAAACAAACTCTCACAGCAAACCACTTCTCCAAGTTGGTTTCTCTGAATCATGAACGTTGACTTCTGCCATGGCAACAGCAGTCCCTTTTATCAGCAGGAGGAGATCCTAACGACGTTATCATCTCCTGCAAGTACTCCGTTGTTCTTCTTTACGTTGTCAGCCCTTCTCCTGCATGCATCCTGATACAACTCCCAAATGCTTTCATGAACATTCCCTTTGATCCA